AGGTTTATCGACAAATTCTCCCAAATTTCGAAACCACTAACCTCCCTCCTGCGCAAAGACACCAAGTTCGTGTGGGGCAAAGATCAAGAGCGCGCCTTCTGCTCGCTCCGCGAAGCACTATTGACAGAATCGGTACTGCAATATCCCGACTTCGCGAAACCATTCAATATAACAACCGACGCGTCCGGGTATGCGATCGGAGCCATATTAAGCCAGGGCGGAATTGGGAAAGACAGACCCATCGCGTACGCCTCTAGGCTGCTCCAAGGTGCGGAATTAAACTACTCGACCATCGAGAAGGAGTGCCTCGCGATCGTGTACGCCGTGCAGCATTTCCGATGCTATATTTACGGGAAACAGTTCAACCTTATCACGGATCATCGTCCCCTAGTATGGGTCACGTCGGTAAAGGACCCGACGTCGCGACTACTCCGTTGGCATCTGAAATTGGCAGAATATGAATACAAGGTCATATACAAGCCTGGAAAATCGAATTTAAACGCCGACGCGTTATCTAGGTATCCTGCTCCCGTATTTCCCGTTCACTCCGACTCCTCGGACACGGCCCTATTCTCATCAAGAATGCCACGCGAAGAGCGATCTCCCCCGCCTACACCTTCCACATCCCGCGAGCCTCCGCAAACATATACTCCGCCTCAACGATCAAATTCCGACACCCCTCGTGGACGCTTGTGTTATATTATAACATGGATAGATTTATCCAGTCATCCCATTTGTTTTTTGATACGTAGTGCTTCAGATATTTGATGAGCACGTGATGCGAGCGCTGTGGATGAAACGAAGTGGTGCGGAACTGAGTTATTTTGAATCGTCTTGCGACAGTTTTAATTCGTTCGGTCGTGAAATTTGTGCCCTGATCCGTTAGTATGGCTTTCGGCGCTTCGGACCGGCAGATGAAATGATTTATTAATGCGTCAGCCACGTCTATTGAGGTGGCGGTTTTAAGGGGAATTGCTAAGGAATATTTTGAGAGGAGATCTTGGATTGTTAGGATGTATGAATTTTCGGATGGAGAAGTAGGGAGAGGTCCGACAATGTCGAGTGCGATTTTGTCGAAGGTATGTCCGGGTGTGTCCGTGATTGTCATGGGTTGTCGTGTTTTGATTCTGGTTAGTTTTCGTAGTTGGCAACTCTCGCAGGTATTTATGAACTTCTGTATGTCTACTTTTAATGTAGGCCAGTAGTACGTCGGTAGTTTCTCTAATACGGTGGTACGTCGCAGAAATGCCCTTGTGGCCACCTATTGCCGATGCATGGTTTTCCATTAGGATGTTGTGACGTGTTGATACAGAGGGTATTCGTACTTCATGTGAGCAGGTAATGATCTGTGTATTTGTTGTCTCGAATAAGTCTAGTAGGATTTGCTGAATTGATGTCCATGGTATGTCGTCGACTGAGGTTCGCGAGATACTGATCGTACGGAGGTCTAGTTCTGTGGCGATGTTGTATAATGATCGTAATACTTCGGTTAGATCATTCGGATCTATGGTATGAGCATGTGATGATTTTACCGGTAGAAGGATTAGTCGATGAGTACCGTTGTTGGAAATTTTTGCTCGGCCAATTTCGGCATTACGGGGGACGCTGAGTTTATTATGTGTTGCGAGATCTATCGCGCCAGCGTCGATTGGTTGTCCGTCCAAAGATACAAAACAAGCTATGTTGTCCCTTCTCATAATGAGTCTGCCTCGGGTAGGTATTATTGTGCGTTTGCGTGTTGGTGGGTTTGTTGTGTTGGTTGTCCGTTGTCTTGGGGTTGGAGTACGGGAACTGGAAGGTGGTGGGGACGGTGGTGGGTCTTGATTAGAGGCAGTGAAGAGTGGAGGATCTGAGGAATCCGAATGAACGGGGAGCACTGGAACGGGGTTTCTGGATAAGGCGTCGGCGTTAAGATTAGTTTTCCTGCTTTTGTATATTATTTTGTATTCGTATTCTGCCAGTTTAAGGCACCATCTGAGGAGGCGCGATGTTGGGTCTTTTACTGACGTTACCCAAACGAGTGGCCGATGGTCACTGATTAGATTGAATGGTTTTCCGTAAATGTATGAGCGAAAGTGTTGAACCGCGTAGACTATCGCAAGACATTCATTTTCAATTGTTGAGTAGTATTGTTCCGCGCCATGTAGTAGTCTAAATGCGTAGGCTATTGGCCTATCGCTGTCGATTTCTCCCTGGCTCAGTATCGCTCCGATTGCGTACGCGGAAGCATCAGTGGTAATGTGAAAATTTTTTGAAAAATCCGGGCACTGGAGGACCGGTTCTGTTGAAAGCGCCACGCGAAGGGTGCAGAAAGCACGTTCCTCGTCTTTACCCCACGAGAACTTTTTGTCCCGCTTTAGGAGGGAGGTTAAGGGTTTGGATATCTTGGAGAATTTGTCTATGAAGCGTCGGTAATAGCCCGCTAGGCCAAGGAACTCTCGTAAGTTTTTCATCGTTTTCGGTGTTGGGAACTCCCTGACGGTGCACACCGTCCTCCGAAATCACGTTTCCCAAGTATGCCACTTCCCTATGGACAAACCCACATTTAGAGCGCTGCAGTTTTAACCCTTTGCGGTCGTATTAAATTTATACATAGGTGTCATGCTGGTCGGAATTAATTTTCGTTGACTGAACAGTAGTGCATAGGATGCAGGATTATGAAAGAAAAACAATACCTATTAATTCTCTTTTAAACTTTATATATATACAAGGTGTCCCATAACTCCTCGAACATCCGGAAATGAGGGGTAGCTGCGTTGACTCTGAACAATTTTTTCCTTTTCCAAAATCCAGTTTGCAGCTTCGCTTTCGAGTTATTAACGAAAAACACTGGCCAATTACAGCGCGCGTAGAGCCCGCGCTCAGGGGCGGACAACAGAGGCTCATCCGTGCTCGAAATGAAAATCTAAAAAATACGTTTTGTAGATCTATGTCAATGATACACGTGCTGATAATTTCATCGAAATTGGTTAATGTTTCTATGAGCTACAAACGGTTAAAGATGATGAAAATCGCACTATCACGACTTTCGGCGTAAAACTGTAATAAATCTGCAGATTCTTACATCTTTCGATGCCTGTTGCTTGTTTCTCCATCAACATATTTCGATGAAATTTTATAATTGACATCGATTTCCAAAACGTATTTTTTTTCTTTTTCATGAATAACAAGTAAGTCGTTTAATAATTGTGTTATTAACTGTGTTATCGTTTCTTTATTCCGAGAGGAATAAAGTGTTTTATTACTTATGAAAAACTTACCCATTCGTCCACGAATTAATCTGCTTCGACGGAACTGGGTCAGTTTGTCGATCCTGACCTATCCGAAACATCTGATGTTACGATCGTGTCGGTGAACTCACATGATCGTTCTTCGCCAAACGTCGCGCGGTCCGCGGGGAAAGTGTGGAAAAAAACAAAAGACGTCTCGGCGTTCTCGACGTGTTCTTTCGGCGTTCGACGTTTATTGTTGTCGATGTCGATGTCTCTTGTGTCTTTACTAACGCTCATCGGTGAGCTCACTTCCCCGCACAGATCACTTCCTCTTGCCACAGGGAAAGGTTGGTATTTTATCATCATAAAATTCATTAATCAAATGCCACCGCCTGACCAGGGAATCAAACTCACATCGGCCCGCAATAAACCTCCTTGCGCGACGCATCGAAGAAACAAAAACCTCGCGAACCTCTCCTCTCCATAACCGATGCTCTCTTCCGTCGTCAGGACGACAATACACCACCTAGAGTGTAAGAGGGATTTACGGCCTCGCGAAATTCTTCGAAAGAATTGCGGTCCACGGGAAGCTACAGGAACAACAAAATAATAAATTCATAAACATATCAACCTCTCCCTGTGGCAAGAGGAAGTGATCGGTGCGGGGAAGTGAGCTCACCGATGAGCGTTAATACAGACACAAGAAACATCGGCATCGACAACAATAAACGTGGAGTGCCGAAAGAAGACGTCGAGAACGCCGTGAAGTCTTTTGTTTTTTTCCACACTTTCCCCGCGGACCGCGCGACGTTTGGCGAGGAACGATCATGTGAGTTCATCGACACGGTCGTAAAATCAGATGTTTCGGATAGGTCATGATCGACACACTGACACAGTTCGGTCGAAGCAGATTAATTCGTGGACGAATGGGTAAGTTTTTCATAAGTAATAAAACACTTTATTCCTCTCGGAAGAAAGAAACGATAACACAGTTAATAACACAATTATTAAACGACTTACTTGTTATTCATGAAAAAGAAAAAAAATACGTTTTGGAAATCGGTGTCAATTATAAAATTTCATCGAAATATGTTGATGGAGAAACAAGCAACAGGCATCGAAAGATGTAAGAATCTGCAGATTTATTACAGTTTTACGCCGAAAGTCGTGATAGTGCGATTTTCATCATCTTTAACCGTTTGTAGCTCATAGAAACTTTAACCAATTTCGATGAAATTATCAGCACGTGTATCATTGACATAGATCTACAAAACGTATTTTTTAGATTTTCATTTCGAGCTCAGATAAAAAAGTTGTAAAAACGACCTTCGCTATTTTCTTCGCGATTCAGACTAATTGCATTTTTCACAAATTTATACAAACGTCGGAATGACGGCCAAAAACCATTTCTCTAAGCCTTATAAAAACAGCAGTGCAAAGTGAAAGTTTTTTGACAGCTATCGAGAACCGAGAAGTCACGCGTACGCATTTGTTCGCTCGCGCGGGTGCATCTCTGTTCGGCCGCCCCTGAGCGCGGGCTCTACGCGCGCTGTAATTGGCCAGTGTTTTTCGTTAATAATTCAAAAACGAAGCTTCAAACTGGATTTTGGAAAAGGAAAAGGTTGTTCAGAGTCACCTCAGCCACCCCCCATTTCCGGGTGTTCGAGGAGTTACGGGACACCCTGTATATACATGCGATGAATCCTTATAATACATCTAAAACTAATGACTAATGTTAAATAACCTTATATGATATGTACAATTTGCAACTTATGTGTAGTCTATGCTCTAGCTCGGGGCGTCTTCCCTTGGAAAGTTACAAATTTTCGTGACTGGCCTCTTGATTGGACCGTCCGCGGTTTTTAACGTAACCACACGGGTGATGTCGTCAGTGCCAGGGTGCAGCTCCGTAACTCTACCTAGGCGCCATTTTAAAGGTGGTAGATTGTCCTCCTTGACAAGTACCAGGTCTCCGACCTTGATGGTGTCGGATGATTGCAGCTTCCATCTGTGGCGTTGTTGCAACTCATGGAGGTACTCCCGTTGCCACCGCTTCCAAAAATGCTGCATCATCTGTTGTATGAGCTGATATCTGTTTAGTCTATTCTGCTGGATATTAATCAGATTCATTTGAGGGAGTGCCATTATAGCGTCGCCGATTAAAAAATGACCTGGCGTCAGAGGGGTAAGGTCATTTGGATCGCTGGATAGGGGATGTAAAGGTCGGGAATTCAGGCATGCTTCTATTTTCGTGAGGACCGTATACAATTCCTCGTAGGTGAGCATCTGTTCGCCCACAACTCTCTTAAGATGTGTTTTCACTGATTTTACACCCCTCTCCCACAAGCCTCCAAAATGCGGAGCATAAGGTGGAATCAGATGCCACTCTATTCCCTCTCTCGCTAGTGAAGATTGAACGCGACTATTATGTTGTGGAGTACTCAATAATATTCCTAATTCATTTAATTGGTTTCTTGCACCAATGAAATTTTTTCCATTATCTGAGTATATAGAGTGGCATCGCCCACGTCGCGATATGAAACGGTGCAAGCATTTGAGGAACGAGTCAGTAGATAAGTCAGTGGCGAGTTCTATGTGAAAGGGACCGGCGTAATCTATTCCACAGGAAGCAAATGCGCGACCAGGCGTTACGCGTTGCGAAGGAAGATTTCCCATTTGGTAGTTGACAGTTAGGGGCTTGGCGCGAAAACATTTGAAGCATTGGCGCACAAACCTTCTGACAATGCGACGTCCGGACAATATCCAAAATCTATCACGCAGGGATGCTAGGGTTTGCTGTGATCCAGCATGCAACAATCGAAGATGCTCATTTTTTATCACCAAATTCGTGAATGGGTGTGACGTTGGGAGGACCATTGGATGTTTTACATCGAAGGGAACTGGGGCATTGGTTAACCTTCCGCCCACCCTGATTATACCGAGTTCATCTAGGAAAGGATTTAGTGAAGCTAAGCGACTCTCTTTGGATAGCGGTTTACCCTTCGAGAGAGATTCTATTTCATTATTGAAGGAGGATCGCTGTACAATTTTAATAATCGTTTCTTCTGCCCCCCTTAATTCAGCAGCCGTTGGAGGATTAATGTTCTCGCGGTTGAGTTTACCTGGATTCGAGTTCCCTCTAGCATTTGCAGTGAATCTGAGACAATATGCCATAATTCGCAGTAATTTTGAGAGTGACGAATATCGCGAGAAGAGGTCAAAGGTGTTTTCGATATGAGATCTGAGATCTGCCGGGTTGTCCTTTGCCGGAACATGTTTCCATTGATCGATTGAGGTTAACCGTTGAATCTCGGAGACGCGATTAGCCACAAATGTCTTCCACTTACAAGGTTCGCTTCTAATCCATGCTAATACGATAGTGGAGTCTGTCCAATAAAATTCAGGAAGTATGTCCACGTGTAGCGCGTTTCTCGCCTTGTTGGCTAGTTCGGCTAGTAAGAGAGCGCCGCATAATTCTAGTCGCGGTAAGGATATTGTCTTCAACGGAGCTACGCGTGATTTCGAGCAAAGGATTCGCGAAATCCACTTTCCATTTTTACAACGGGTGCGTAAGTAAATGACTGCCCCATATGCCCTTTCAGAGGCATCCGAAAATCCGTGAATTTCTATGACTTGGGCCTTATCACCCACAGCGCGTCGCGGAATGACACGTGATGCAATATTAACTAATTCGGAGCGAAATTCAACCCACTGAGTATGGATGTCTTGAGGCAGGCCCTCATCCCAGGAGGTTTGAAGTTGCCAAAGTTGCTGAATGAATAACTTAGCCTTTGTTATTATTGGGCCAAGGAGACCAAGCGGGTCGAAGATTTGCGCAACCTCCGAAAGAATTCGCCGTTTTGTGATTTTATCGAAACTAGGATTCTTAGTTGCGTAATGGAGTTCGTCTGTTTGAGATGACCATAGCAAACCTAATATTTTGGGATCCTTATCAGCGGTTTTAAACTCTATTTGAGTATCTGTTTGGTCTTCACGATGGGCTGATATTTGGGAATTATTACTGGCCCATTTTCGTAATGGGAATCCGGCCTGTTCTAAGATTTTCGTTAACGATACGCGTAAGTGAATGGCTTGTTCGATAGTTTCGCAGCCTGTCAATAAATCGTCCACGTAAAAGTCATTGAATATTATTTTACTGACATCAGGATGTGTTTGCGCATTATCAATACCGACTTGTTTTAGTGTACGCGTTGCCAAAAAGGAAGCTGAAGTTGTACCATAGGTAACAGTGTTCAACTGGTATGTTCTGATAGGATCACTATCGCTGTAACGCCAGAGAATACTTTGAAGTTTACAATCTGACTCCTGTACGCGAATCTGCCTGTACATTTTTTCGATGTCGGCGGATACGACAAATTGGTACTTTCTAAATTGAACGAGGATGGAAAAGAGATCGCCTTGTACCTGCGGTCCTACTAACTGTGTGTCATTTAATGAAATTCCCGTTGAAGAAGGAGACCATCCATCAAATATGACGCGAATTTTACTTGTTGTACTTGAAGTCTTGAAAACGGCGTGATAAGGTAAATAGTAGCACGGTTTTGAGTCGAGTTTATCGTTGTCAACTAATGACATGTGACCTAGATTTTCATATTCGCGCATGAAAGTTATATATTGTTCCTTAAAATCTGGAGCTCGTCGAAATTTTCTCTCAATGTTTAGTAGTCGTCGCTCTGCCGAAAATCTAGATTCTCCCAATTCGTGTAATTTATTGTTGAAGGGTATAGAAACAGTATATCGTCCCTTGTTGTCACGTGTTGTCGTTTTCGTAAAGTGTTGTTCGCAGTCATCGTCGAGAGTAGAATTTAAGCCTCCGGGTTGAATTGTTTCTTCTATTTCCCAGAAACGAGATAATACCTTGTGTAAATTGGCGTTGGTGACCGCATGGCAAGTTCTACGTTCAGGTTTGCCTAACAAAATGAAACTACCGCCCAGTACCCATCCAAAGCGCGTTTTTTGCCACACTAGGTTAGATCCCGGCACCTTGTATTGTCCGATGCACAGAAGTTGCCAAAATAATCCCGCGCCTATTAAAAGATCAACGCGACCTTGTTCTTGGAAACCAGGATCCGCAAGTGGTTTACCTGGCGGTATGGGGATACGCTTCTTATCTAGTGTGATGTTCGGCATATCTTCAGTGATATTCCTTATTACGAGACATGATAATGTGGATTTGAATGTGTTGCAACGCGAGGAGATTGAGAGTGTCTTGAATTTGATGGGATTCGCTACTTTTCCTACTCCTCCAACTATCGCTTCAGTCTCAGATCGCGGAATATTGACTCTACTGCAAAAATCTTCAGTAATGAAATGAGCCTGTGATCCTGCGTCTAATAGGGCGCGACATTTATGACTATTACCGTTTGAGTCTAGTACGTAAATTATCGCGGTAGACAGCACAGTATACTCAACGGTCGGATCGTTTCGATCTGTTACGCAGGCCTGTAGTGCGTGAGAATGGGATGCATTTTGATCGTTATTTTTCAAATTGACGCTAGTTTCGTTAATGTCTTTATGCAGTAATGTGTGATGCTTTTTATTGCATTTTCTGCACGTGCCACGAGTACAATTACTGATACTGTGTCCTAAATGCAAACAATTGAAACAGGCCTGAAGACGTTTTACGGTTTCATGCCGTTCGGAAAAAGGCATCGCTAATAATTTTGAACACTGAGATAGCGCATGTTCCCCTTTGCACAGTGAACATGCGTGCTTGATATTTGCGAGATGAGCCGCATATGGTCTAATTTTCGCGTTTACCTGCTTCGGAGTTCTGTCGGTAAATTGTCCTGGCGCCAATGCGTTACTAATATTTCTGCGTAAGAGATATTGAGCGCGCTGTTCGATGAATTTCGAAAGATCGTGGAAGGTGGGTCTAGCCGTCGCATTAACCGTTCGTTTTTCCCATTCGTCGGTCGTAGTGAAATCTAAGAGCTTAATTAGATATGAGTTAATCAAGGCGTTCCATATTTCCGTCGGATTCATAAGAGATTCTAAGGCATGAACGTGATTATTCGCTGCGTCTATGAATTCGATGAGTGCTACTCCGTCGGATTTTTTCACAGGTACTATGTTTAGTAAACCATTAAGATGGTAATAAACTAGCGCGTTCGGATTTTCACAACGTTCCTTCAATCTAGTCCAAGCAATTTTATAATTAATTTCTGATACACCTAATGATTCGATTACGCGGGAAGCGGGCCCTGTCAGTGTGGAAGTCAGATAATTAAAACGATCTATATCAGTCAATTTGTCACAGTTATGCACCAATGAAACAAATGTGTCGCGAAAACGAATCCAATCGCCAAGATTACCGTTAAAGGTTGGAAGTTTTATTACTGGAAGGCGCGGAGTGGATTGCGACTCAGATACCACGGGTGAGGAACTTGCGATTGATGTAGGTTGATCTGGACCTTTAAAGTTCTTAATATGCCTTACAGCGGTGGCTATTGTACTATAGTATGTATTTTCAAACGACTCGCGTTCCTCTAGGTACGTTTCCTCGTTCTGATCATCCAAAACCAAGATTTCTATTTTGGTTTGTATGTCGTTGAAATTTTCTAATAGAGACTCATTTTTCTGTACTCGTTTCTCAAGGTCTATAATGTCCGTGTCCGGATTAAGGGAAGTCACAGATTTCTTGAAGAGTGTTAACTTCATTTTGAGAGATTTACGTTGGGCGAGAAGAGTTTTCAATTCAGACTCCATTGTACACGGTTTTACTAAATAGAAGCAAGGAAAGGACTTACTACTTCAGGAGGAAAACTGGATATTAGCTGCGTGTTTCTCCCAGCAGATCAGCTATACAGATGATGCCGTGATGACTGGATCGTCGCAGGATGTCAGCCTTGATGCAGTGTAGTGACCGCTCACTGCCTCGTTTCAGCGGCTTGCCTTCTCGTTGTTGAAGATCCTCCAAAGAAGAATCGTAGTTGAGTTGAGGGTGGATGCGTTTGCTTCTATCACGTCCAGCGGGGTGGTGACTCGTCAAGTAGCACGCACAGTCTCCTTTCTGGATGTACAAACGATCGCCTCTTCTTCCAAAGTGTTGTAGTGGACTTTCAAATGGCAAAATCCGGCTCGAAGGACCAAATGTAAACGCTCGTGGTCGGATCTCAATGAGATACCTATCGAGCTTTGTAGAGATTGCACGTGATGTGCCGACTAGAGTTCAATATGTATGTCTCGAAGGACCACTCTTACAAATATAAGAGACTATGTAAATTATAATAACTCTTCTTCTATTATTCTTAGCAATTGTGTTCCCTTTACTATTGACTATTCTTAACTATCCCTAAGACACGTTTACGCGTGTTTTTAAAGCATCGGTGATGGCACTGATTGGTTGACAGGGGAAGGGAAGTGGAAAACGGGGTGACAAAAATGCGAATATTCAATTGGTGGATGGAATTTGTGGAAAGGTAGCGGGAAGGATTCGGAGCGGGGGTGATGAGCGACTTCTCACCCCTACGGGGAAAGGCCCAGGGTGACGTCAGCGTGATGGCATTAATCGGTTCACTGAGGGTAGAGAGAAGGATTCGGAGCGGGGGTAATGAGCGACTTCTCACCCCTACGGGGAAAGGCCCAAGATGACGTCAGCGCGGTACTGTTGATCGGGTCACCGTGGCCGTCCGACTCTTGGGTTCCCTAAAGTTTATGACACGGTAATTGCTATTGAGAGAGACAGAAAATTAATTTAGCTAATGCTAAGGTCACGTACCACCTATTCAGGTACGGGTAAAACTTTGCCTTCTCAAAAATAGCGTCTACAGGCGACCGTATCATAAATTAGTTCTAACGAAGTCTTAACACAGAGCACCTTAAGGAGGAAGAACTCCCGCATACGCGGGAACTCATATCGCATAACTACGATATCTTCCATTTACCCGGCGATTTTCTTAGCAAAACAAACATTGTCTCCCATAAAATCACCTCAGACCCCGCGCCAATCAATGTAAAACAGTATAGATACCCACCGGTTCACAAAGACGAAATAAATAAACAGATGAATGAACTTTGAGAAAACGACATTATACGCCCATCAACGTCCCCATACAACTCGCTTCTATGGATCGTCCCTAAAAAGGCTATCGAACATGGAAATAAAAAATGGCGAATGGTCATCGACTATCGAAGTCTGAATGACAAATCTGTCTCCGACGCGTACCCCTTACTCAGCATACTAGAAATATTAGATCAACTTGGAAGTGCCAAATACTTTAGCGTATTTGATTTAGCCAGCGGGTTCCATCAAATAGGAATGGAGGAAGGCGACGCCGAAAAAACGGCCTTCTCTACACCCTATGGTCATTACGAATTCACACGGATGCCATTCGGGCTCAAAAATGCCCCAGCAACATTCCAGCGCCTAATGGACGCTGTTCTGACCGGCCTCCAGGGCAGCGAATTATTCGTATATCTCGACGACATCGTGATCTATGCGAGATCACTACAAGAACACCGCGCGAAATTTCACAAACTAGCCGAAAGATTACGGAACGCGAACCTAAAGCTCCAGCCATCAAAGTGTGGATTCGTGCATAGGGATGTGGCGTACCTAGGCCACGTCATTTCGGAGAATGGAGTAAAACCCAGTCCTCAAAAAGTCTCCGCGGTTAGAGAATTCCCAACTCCGAAAAACACAAAGAATGTAAGGGAATTTCTCGGACTAGTAGGATACTATAGAAGATTCATAGACAAATTCTCGCAAAAGTCAAACCCGCTAACCACGCTCCTGCGAAATGATGCCATGTTCTTGTGGGGGAAAGACCACAGGAGCGCGCTTTCTGTATGCTCCGCGAGGCGCTTTCAACGGAACCCGTCCTTCAATATTCCGCTTTCTCATTGCCGTTTCATATAACAACAGACGCGTCCGCATGTGCGATTGGAGCCATCCTAAGCCAAGGCGAAATGGGTAAAGATAAACCAATTGCCTATGCCTCCAGATTACTGCAAGGAGCGGAACTCAACTACTCGACGATCGAGAAAGAGTGCCTCGCGATAATTTACGCGGTACAGCATTTCCGCTCATATATTTACGGCAAACCGTTTAATCTAATAACTGATCACCGGCCTCTCGTTTGGATGACGTCAGTCAAAGATCCGAGCTCACGGTTGCTCCGCTGGCGATTAAAACTCACCGAATACGATTATAAAATAATCTACAAGGCCGGCAAAACAAACCTAAACGCAGACGCACTTTCGAGAAATCCTGTCCCCGTACTTCCCGTCTAATCTGACTCCTCAGACCCCTCACTCTTCACTTCGAGCCAATCCCGCGATAACAGACACCCGCAACCTTCACCCTCCACCTCACACAGTCCCGCACAACAATCTCGACATTCCGAATACGATCCCAGACAAGACACAAAAGAGGACATTCATACCTCAACACCCAGACGTCTTGCGCTCAGGCGAACAATAATACCAACGCGCGACAGATTAATAATGAGAAGAGATAACTTGTTATGTTTCGTATCACTCGACGGACAACCAATTGATAACGGCGCAGTAGACTTATCAATACAAAACAAAATTCACGTTCCCCACGACGCCCGAGATAGGACGAGCTAAAATTTCAACCTATGGATCCTATAACTTGATAATTCTACCGATAAAGCCAACACGCGATCACACGACAGACCCCGACGATTTAATAGAATCACTCCGTTCCCTGTACAACGTAGCAACAGAGCTCAACCTTCCTTCGGTTAGCATCTCGCGAACATCCATCGACAACACCCCCTGGTCCGCAATCGAACGAGTACTAATCGATCTATTTGAAAACACACACATACAAATTTTCACCTGTTCACACGAAGTGAAAATACCCCCCGAGTCCAATCGACACGACATACTAGCAGAAAACCACGTATCAGCATACGCAGGCCGGAAAGGCATCACGAAAACCTATAACAGAATTAGGGAACCATACTTACGTAAATTCTTGCGAGAGCTGTCAATTACGGAAATTGACACGCGTTAAAATGCGCCAACCGATGACATTGACGGACACACCAGGACAGACGTTCGACAAAGTAGCAATGGACATCGTCGGACCACTCCCAACTACTCCCCGAGGAAATTCCTATATCCTTACCATACAGGTTCTCCTATCAAAATGCTCACTAGCCGTACCCCTAAAAACCGCAACCTCCATCGAAATTGCAGACGCATATGTAAGTAACCTTATTTGCAAATTTGGAACACCTCGAGCCATTCTAACGGATCAAGGCACGAATTTCACAAGCTCTCTGATCAAAACCATCGCGAAACGATTCAGAATAGCTCAGTTCCGTACCACCGCATTTCACCCCCAGAGTAACGGCTCGGTGGAACGATCGCACCATGTGCTGACAGAATATCTGAAACACTAGGTCTCCAAATGCGATTGGGACGAATGGCTAGACCTTGCCATCTTTTTGTATAATACAAGCACCCATGAACCCACGCATTTCACCCCACACGAACTGGTATTCGGACGCCTTGCCCGCCTCCCGCCCAGTTCCACATTCCACGAAACCAACGACGAAACGTACAACTCCTACCTATCCGACCTCCAGTCAAAACTCACCAATACCCTCTCCCGTGCCCGAGATAACTTGACTTCTGCGAAGGAGCGTTTCAAGGTCTACTACGACCGCAAAGTAAACATAGAAACGTTCAATGTAGGAGACAGGGTTTTTCTCTTAAAAGAACCGCACAAGGGCAAATTCGACGACGAATATACTGGGCCCCATAAGGTAATTCAGGTCCTCCCTCACAATAACATGCGTATACTCGTGAGATGCAGATCACGCGTCGTTCACGCGAATAAACTCCGTAAAACACGAGCCGCTATCACGCATCGGGTTACCGCACGTAACCTCCCCCGTATCCCCACCGAACAAAGATATGTAACAGCGAGCGAAGCGCGAACCGCCATACAGTCAATCCCCCTCCAGTGCACGGACACCAAAAAACCTCCTCCAACGCCAAAGTGCTCCAAATAAAGGCTTCAAGCCACCGACCTCAGCCCATTGTGCATAACGCAGTGACAATGTTCGCGTTAATAGTACTAGTGTTATCACTCAACCCATTGTGTAAAGGGCTCATCGCATACGATTGTGCTGGGCGTTCTTTAAACATAGCGACCTTTTCACTCACAAACATCGGCAACTGCGAAATACCAAACTCACAACCACAAACCGAAAACCAATTCATTCAACTACTGCAACGGACAGAATACGCAAATAAACGTGCAATCCAATGCAAAATAAGAGTGGACCGGACAATCTACTATTATAGAATGCATTCCCACACCTCTGTGGTCCAAGGAGGACAACGTGAATACCTGATGGACATAACCAACCGCAATCAGCTACACAAAACAGGACAGGTACAATTTTCCGCCACGGACGTGATAACGGGACTCAAAGCGAACAGCACATCCACACGCAGCCTCACGCTCGCAGGAACGTTAACCCTAGACGGCCAGTGCACAGGAGCACAATATAGTGACCCGTTTGGAACCTGGAACAACGTAGTGTTCCAAGCATCAGTAACCATCACACTGCGAAGTTTCTACGCCCCTATAAGGATAAAAACATCACAGATAATTCTGCCTTCCGGACGTCACTGCCTCGTCACAGAAGAACACTGCGAGGACACGAAAGGAGAAG